CAGCTGGATCATCCCCTTCCCCCCAAACACCGGGGAGGGGGGCTTGTTTTACAACGTCGTTGCCAAGCGACGAAAACCCAACCCCGATGGCAAACACCGGGGGTTAGGGGGGCTCTCGTCTCCCGCACCGGCCGCTGGAAACTGCTCTGCGGTGGGAGCCTCGCCCTCGGGTTCGTAATCCAGGATTTCCACATTGTCGCCCAGGAGTTCCACATTGCCGCTGCACATGGTGTCCTCTTTGTTAAGAACAACAGGGCCAGAGAGAGGGTAGCTACGATCGATTGTGGAAAGGGCAGCAGGGCCAGAAACAGCAGATGTAGGATAACCAATCGCAGTTGAGGCAGCAGCACCAAGAGCAGCAGAAGCAGTCGGGTGCAACATCGGGAAAAGCAAGCCGAGGTCCATGCGAAAGGCGGAGATATCCACAGGATAGCTAGCATACGCCCAGTGATAAAGGCTTGGTGTACACAAGGTTGAAGCGGATCCAATCAAGCAGAAAAAGCGTCCAAAAGCACACCATGCCACGCACAAACAGCAGTGGAAGCTAGCACAAAAGGGCCCGTGTTACATGGAGACACGAGGTTTTCCGACCAAAATACACGCAGAGCAGCACGGCGTTCCTCCGCAACTGGTGCAGTGCGAGCAAAGACCGCTCTGGGTTTGCGCTGTTGAAAGGTTTCCAATTCAAATGCTTTGAGAGTGAACGATTCCCCGAAAAAAAGTGCCGTGTGATTTCGAAAAATGGAGGGAAGGCTGGTGGGGCGGCTGACACCCAATTTGTGTGCACACAAAGCGTTCCAAGTCGATGTAAGCGGAGTCAAATCGGAGAGCACAACAGGAAAATTCGCGGACATCGGCCGGTACGCCGGCATGAATGCAGTAGATGTGATAGCAGACGTGGGAAGCATGCTGTCATCTCGGGTCCCACTACAGAAAGCCAGCAACTCAGGACGCTCCATGCAGAGGGTATCCGCCACAGAAATCACTTCATGGACCGCCGATGCAGACAAGATAGCTTTCGAGGGACGGCGAACGTACGAAAAATCACCCAAAACATCGCGATGGCCTTCGAGGCGCGCATCCTTTGCAAGGTCCCAGTCCCGCGGGCGCTTCGCAAAAGCATCACAAGCCAGCATCTCTACAGGAGAGAAAGCAGAGGAAAGGCTAAGTCTAGATTCTCGTGGGTGGTGAGACCAAATAACAAGCAACCCGCAACCCGGTGGTTGTGAAAAAAGCGTGGCAACAACACACAGCAGTGTGGGAGCCGCGTCCAGCACCCGCTTACCGTGTAATGCCAGCTGACGCCAAGGTTCAAGGAGTGATGTCGTGTGCGGTAGCTTGCTCCTAGAGAAAGATGAAGGTTCTGCCATTGAGACGCTTGTCCACGACCACGTTGAGATGGGAAAGTTCCTTGTTATTGCTGAGAGACGATCAGCAAAGGTCTGAGATGAAGTGCAGTGGGGATCCAACTTCATCTCAGGGGGTACACAGAGTAGACAATTCTAAGGAGGTAGGGGTCAGAAGGGTATACCTCCTGACCGACCCGCGTCCTATCAACAAAAACATGTACCCTATTCATGCTAGCAGCCACACTCCTCAACACTTGCTTGCTTTCGTTTGCACGCGCGCCCAGGCTCGACCCTTTTTTTCTTATCCCCCGGGGACAGTGTTCTCGTCTTCTTGCCGTCACATATTTACCCTGCTCATGTCGAAACCGTTTACCACTCTGTTCGGAAAAATAGGGACCGTTGTATTCGCGCTTGTATCCGAAGGCCGTTACATCATTTTCGAACTGAGTGTAGACGAAAAGTGTATAAACAAGTACCACACAGTCTAAGTGTGGTGCAATACTGGTGGCGGTATTAGTTTCCCGCTATCCCATTTTGTGTGTCGCCGAGTCCGTCGAAGTGGATTCTGCAGCACGTCGAAAGATATGAGTCTACACAGTCGCCTGATCCCACTCCTTATGAAGCCGCGATCAGCGATGGCGTTCCCACAGGGCGAGTGAGTGTCAATCTACTCCTTGTAATACTCGCCCTTCTTCCCCTCGCTCCTCGACAAGCTTTTGCTTAGACATGGGTTGTAGTGAAGGGGGGGGTCTTCTGGCGAGCAGGGCTAGACTCACCCTCAAGGGATAACCGAAACCTTCTTGCTGCTGCGCATCCGCCGCGAGGCNAGTATTGAGTCAGTAACCTGGCTTCGCCATCAAAGGAGGAGGGAGCAGGTGGCGACGAGCTGAACT